AATTCGAGTGAACCTTGAGTTCTAGGCATGTTGTACGCACAAGATAATTAGTGTGCAGACCATTTTCATTTATATAGTGCTCTGTGAACACAAATTAGTGAGAATAAATCAGTTAAATGATGAAAAATTAGGTGTCTATTTACTTGTGACCACTCAGTGTATATATATATATTCGTACATGACGAAATTAAGAGACACTTGTACACATAAAGGCCAGTGTTTTCACGTAACTTTCAAGTTCATGGTTTCTTATTGTAACACTAGCTGGAGTACCCGTCCCGTGGGGGGGAAATTATGTAAATTCATGATTATTGAAAGGTTATCTTAGGACATGAAAAGTTGCTTCCCTTATATGTAATTGTAAAAAACGCAAAAATGCCTATAAAAACTGAAAACACAAAATGTGAAACCACAAGTTTGCATGTATATCTGCATGGACCCAACAACCATTCATGCGAAATTTGATGAAGGTCCATCAACAGAGAGCGAAGTAGTGGTAAAAAACACAAAACACCCATAAAAAGTGCAAAACGCAAAATGCGAAACTGAATATTTGTAATATCTCCCTGTTACGTATTTGTTTGTTAATTACCGGTATAAATTCTTTCCGAGAAACCTCAGCGATACAACTCCCTTTTTGATTAAAACTAGTTTATTCTTTCTCGATACAAACTTTGTAATACACAGAATTTCCACAGTCAGGACGTTTCTAAACCTAACTACTTTTATAATACACGCTATAAATCATACTGATTCACACACTTTACTTACAGTGCCTACTCCTTTGACTCTATTATCTATCTCTTCAATCACGCTGGTTTTTCTCGCCAGGCTTATATATTAAAAAAAGGGGGAATCTCGAGCAGACTAGAGTTGCTGAGCAAATTCATGATCCTTCGAGAAACTCCAGCGCGCATGCTCTCAGCGTCACGTGACTTCTGCTGTCGTAACACTGCCCCTTCCTTAGTATTCTTCGTCCCGAACAATAGCCACTTACGTTAAACCAATAGATAATTAACAATAACTTAATTAAATGTACAGAATTTACAAACACAAAATTAAAATACAGCACGTATTTTCTTTCGTACTTGTCTGTGTCTCATTGGCTTCTGCTTCACGTGGGGTTCATCTGCTCCATCAGGAAATGTCCCACTATCAGTCACATTAGTGGTAGTAACTTCATCAAGAGCTTCACCGTTTCCCTTCTCAAAACTGAGTAGAGTTTCTTCTTCGACGGTGGTTTTTTCAGGTGGCACGTCTTCAGCAGCATCATTTGTTCCATTGTTTACTTCGTTCCAACTGAAATGACCTGGACCATGATAACGCCAAAGCCTGTTGGCATGCACCACCTTTGGCTTACCTCGCCGACCACATTTTATTCATAAAGTCACGTCTGAGAGATGATCCACTATGTCATATGGGCCTTCCCATGGAGAAGACAACTTAGGAGACTTCCCTTTGGTCTTCCTGGGATTATACAACCACACCTTGTCTCCTGGTACAAAGCTGACTTCGATTGATTTGTTATCATAACATAGCTTCATCGAATCAGCAGACGTTTTTAAGTTTGAATGCACCTGATGATGAATATCATCCATCCTTTCAGATAACACTTTCACAAACTCTGACACATTTTCAGACAACTCTTCATAAAGAGGGCATCCAGTTATCAGGTCCAAGGTCAACCGAAGTTCCCGACCAAACATCAACTTTGCTGGAGTATATCCAGTGACTTCATGCTCTGCTGTTCTATAGGCCATCAACAGTGGGGGGAGTAAGATATCCCAGTCATCTTGGTGGCTATTACTAAACTTTGCCAATTCCTGTCCCAGTGTCCAATTGTACTTTTCTACCATCCCATCAGACTGTGGGTGAAGTAGCGTTGTCCTGGTCTTTCGTATGCCAAACAACTTTCAACATTCATGGAACACAGCTGATTCAAAGTTACGGCATTGATCTGAATGCAGTTTGTATGGCATATCAAATCTGAAGAAGAAATCACTTATAGCTGAAGCTAAA